CCCCAAAACCCCAAAACCCCAAAACCCCAAAACCTATCTTTATAAATTGATTGAAACTAAGCACCACTTTTTCGGGATTCAATTTGATTTCATGAAAAGAAATTTCTCAGTCTAAGAAAAAATTTACGGGGCTCCAGTTAACTTATAAAGAGCTAACTGTATTAATAAAATCTATCTACCAGTACAACCTTCTTTCATACCCGACCTACCTCTTAATAACAGTGAATTAGCAATTTTAGACTGCTAAATCCACTATATCTACACAAAAGCTGATTTCAAATGTAAAATTTTTGGTGTTGTCACTAAGTGTTTGTCAAAAATTAACCTTATTTTATCAAATAGATATTATTGTAATGTATCTAACCAGAAACTGGCTGGCGATTATTCTTCCTTTCTGAGCCATTAGCATCTTTGCAACAGCATTTATCTTTCTTGTGCCTGAATCTCAGAAGTTTCTTAAAGATCAAGATCGAAAGAAAATACAAGAAGTACCAAAATATAGCTCAAGAGGGTAAGATTTTTATTATTATGTAATAGACAAATGTTCGATAGGCAAACAATCGATCTCACTATTGCTGATGAAAATGAGAAGCCAAGGTTTATGAATATTTTCAAAGACTGGACTCAAGTAATAAACCTTATCATAATGATTTGCAGCTGGTCATTCACAAGTGCTGGATACTATCTTGTGTGTTACAATGTCAAATATTTTGAAGGTTCAGTGTATACCAACAGTATTCTACTCGGTGTTGCAGGTCTTATTGGAGTGATCTTGTTCAGTATCTTAATTAACCTCATCTCAAGCAAAAAGCTCCTGATCAGTTCGTTCTTCTTAACTCTGTTTGGAAGTGTTGGGTACTTAGCAACTTTACAATATCCAAGCCTAGTCCCAATTTGGATCCTGTTCATGGTAGGTAGCTTCTCTATCCAATTCAGCCTGTGATACTACTTAAACTGTGAGTTATTTCAGCCAGCATTCAGGACAAGAGTGTACTCAATCTGCAACTTCTGCTCAAGGTCATGCTCAATGTTATCCCCTCTCCTCTCAGAGACGCTCTCAAACCCTATAATCCTCATCTCCGCTTGCTCTATCCTAATGCTTCTTCTATCACTCAACCTAACCCCCAAACCTAACTATCGAAGCTATTCTTAAAACCCCAGCCTGTAAAGGTAGCATAACTTGAGGCCGTCACTAGTAGTGTTCATTTTATTAAGAAAAGAATGCTTGTCAAAATTTAGGATTTTAAAAGGGGTTTTGGGGTTTTGGGGTTTTGGGG